TACGTGTTTACAGGAGATGAAGCTTTTTCGTTGGGTCCAAACTTTATGAAGCCATATCACAAAAAAGGGCTACACACCCAGAGAAAGTATTTAATCAACGGCTATCGAGTGCCAGATGTGTGGTTGAGTGTGCTTTTGGTTCCCTTGCCAATAAATTTGGAGTGTTTCAGAAAGCTATAAGTCTGAGCCCAGAGAAATCTTCAAAGGTTGTTATCTACACAATTATTTGATGTCAAATGAAAGACCAAATTATCAGGCTCCAAATGGTAATAATTTCGACTTAACGCATATACAGACCAGCTCGGAATTCAACGGAATGTACTAAAACTTTAAGAGAGAAATTAATTTCTTGTATTGCCACTAGCGAAAATTCGACATTCGCTTCGCCAAAGCTGTCAAAATTTGTCGACTGTTTATTTTGTTCGCGTTCGAAAATGGAAAGGACCTCAGTAAATTTTAATCTTATTTATTTAATTTAATTTAATAAAATCTAATTTTCGGAACAAAACGGACAACAACGCAGCAGTTCCTAAAGCTGGTTAGCATAATGGAAAATAATCCAGACGTCGCAAAAGGGATGGGGAGTTTCGGTTCAACAAAGAAGAGTAGGGCAGAGCTGTGGGAGAAGTTCGCTACCGAACTAAATGCCATTGGCCCTCCAATACGTAGGGGACGCGAGTGGAATAATGTGAGAACTGAATTAATTTGTGTGACCGTAGTTACTTACATATGTACTATTTAGGTTTGGTTAGACTACAAACTTAAGCTGAAGCGATGAGCTGCTCCACCTGCAGGAAGCAGTGAACCAAGTGGAACCAAGGTGGCAGAAACTACGGTGAGTGCCAATGAATTAGATGCAGAAGAGCCCCTGGGCGAACAAGCTCCACAAGAAGTGGATTTCGCACCGGGATCGTCAACTTCCCGGCCTAGAATGACTGTTGAGGATCGAGAATCCATTAGATTCCAAGCATTGGAGAAGCAGTCCGAAGTCCAAGATATCCTTTGCGAAAGAATTTCAAACATTGAAAAAAACAGACTCGACGAAATCGCTAGGTAAACAACGAAGATGTACGAATTAAAAAAAGAAGAACTAAATTTATTAAAACTGAAGGAAGAAAGGAAGAAGGCAGAAAGTTTTGAAAAGAGAAGACAACATAAAGAAAAGATGGAAATGAAACTAAAGGAATTAGAACTAAAAACATTAAAATACAGCCAAAAGTAGGTTGGAATATTCTTATGACCTACTTTTGGTTACATTTTAATGTTTAGTTAGTTCCCAATCATTTAGTTTCATTTCAATCTTTTCTGTAAGTTACTGAATTTGTGATTTTTTATTTTAATTTCCAAAACATGTGATGAACTAAATTTAAGTTCCAGGGTTCCATGCAAACATTTTAAGGTTTTCCAGCAATGTTTTTAACATATTAAAAAGTATGCAGGAAAAATTTATACAAAAGCGCTATGTCCAATATGCGGAGCAGTTTTTAAAGACGATGCTTTTCCTATGTTTTGTTAGACTTTTCATAAGTAAAAATATTTTGTGAATATTACTTTCTTCATATGAATTATATCACACTTTTTGTTTAATTCATGGCCTATCAAATAGGTTTAGAGCATTTGAGCAAAAGCAACATTTGCCTGTATTTTGTTGTTGCTTCTGGTATCGAAGGTGCCAAAAACTGTTCTGATTTTTTTTCTTCTACATCAAAGCGTGCCATGCGAAATACGAAAAAGGTAAAAAATTTAAATTGAAAAAATGAAAATTGTTGCAACTTTCTTTCTTAGTAAATTGGTTCGCTTCTCGAAGCATTGATCCATCCTGTACCAGGCCCAGTAATCAGCGGTTGTGCTGCTGAGTTGGGCGAGCTTACCAAAACCTGCTATTTAATCGCTGGTTTTGTATGGAAAATGTTTCACATGCGAATAGATTTTAACAATTTAGAATTTTTGTGAGAAGAAATGTAAAATATTGTACATTTTCGAGAACAAATAATTTGAAAAAAATCAAATCTGCTGCTATACTGATATTACCTGTTCAATGTGCCTTGGTTTAATTGTATTTTTGGAATAAACAAAGTTTTTTTTCCTTCTGTCAGTAAACTGTTTTTTTTTACAAATAGTGCAAATAAGCAATGGCAAATAAGGCAACATTTGTTTTATTTCCAACTTTTGTTGGAGTGCAATGGGGTATAGTCATTGCGCTGGGTATGCAGTTACAGTTGCATGGCTATACTCAATCCCGACTCTTGCGCCCTCGTTCGGGCACTCTGGGCAACGTGAGCAACCCATGTGCGAGATGCGGTAACCAATCCGAGTGGAGCCTTGGGTCACGGCAGAAAGAGAGGGAGCTTCGGTGGGGCCACTCCGACTTATTTGGTTTAAGGGCTCACTGAAGTCTGCTGCGTCTGTTCACCAGTAGGTGCGGCTGCAAGCGGGTGTCTGCTTGGAGCAAGCGGCTCGCTATATAAACGTGTATTTGGTTGCGAAACCACCCCCGTCCCAGCAATGGGTTGTGCGCTGGGCTTGGGACCCGCCACGTAAAAACCACTTCCAGTGAAGAAGCAAGGCAAAGCCTCGGATGAGACCCCCCCTTATGATGACGACCACGGCAAACGTTTAAAGGACTACGATTTG